CAGTCCATAAGTTTAGGGTATTCTATTTTTTTAATTCTATAAGAATATTCATATAAATTCGACTGTTTTTAGTGGACCGATTATATTTCTCTTATGACTAATAATTATTATTTGTTCCCAGTTAATAGTCGTTTACCATTAGCATACCCTGACTAACATTCATGTTTTCAGCTACTTATATTATTATAATTAATGAAACTATTATTACTATTATTATTATTATTATTAGGAATAATCTTACTTGCTATCTTCAACTCGAATCATTTTCTGATTTACATTATTGCAATCCATGTAGCTACTTTAACCCTAGGCTACGTTATTTCCTGCCTTATTTTCTATGAAACAATTTCGATTAATCAATCAACGTTTTGTACTTTATTGACAACCCCATTGGATTTAATCGGGAAATAAACTTCTTTATAATCAAAGTGTATTGTCAGAATTGTTCATCTAGAAATTCCACATTATTTCATGATGAATTCATGAATATATATACGTATAGACAGAAGGAAAACTAAGATTGCCTAGAAAGGGATATAACTTAATCGACAAAATAGAACAAAATGTATAAAATGTATATAGTACACAAAGTTGAACTATTATTTTAGTAAGTTTGTCAAAGAGAATTTACAAATGTTAACCACTGTTCATTTTCAATATCAGTGGAATATTTCTTTGAAATATCGAAAAGCACTAGCTTCAAAATGAAAGTTTGACGCAAAACCAAAATTCGATTTCATCTTGAATCTTTTCAACTGACCAAAAGAATTTTAAACTTATAACCAATAGATTGTTAATTTACACTTTTCAAAAAATACTAAGCAATAACACGTATAAACAATAACGTTTGCTAACCAACGCTAACTTAGATAGTTGGTTTAAAAAATAGAAACCAAACAGTTCGTTCATCGACGATTAAGACAAGAAAATAAGTTAGATAAAAAGTGAGAAACAAAAATTAAGTTGGTTGAGTAAATTAGCTTGATGATCAAATAAAGAGTTATTGAAAAAGTGAATTTCTACATTGAATAGAGTCAAAAAAATACTAATAACTAATCAAACGTATTGTAAAAATGTTATTTCAGCTTTAAAACATAATTTTAGCTAATCAAGAATACTTTATATATATTAAAAAACAAAAGCATTTACGACGTATTTATAAAGAATTTTTCATCAGTTCATAAAATGAATCAAAATTAAAATTCTCGTGAATTAGTTCTGGATATTCTAGTTCATGCGTTCAATTTTCAGTTTTGTCTTCTTCCATGAAGGAAATTTTTTATTTAGGGTCACAAATCCTAATGTTTATTGTAGATAATATAAAAATGTCATGCTGAATTAGTATAAACTCATAAAAAAATCTTGACTAAATATTTTTAATGTTCAATTTCGAAGTTCAACATAACAGTCCTTAGTTGCCCTATGTCTCAATTCATTTAGATCTTATGGTGATGATTGTTATCGAAATATACATTCCGCTAATCCTCGTATATTTTTATAGACTTAATTCGCGTTAGGTAATAACGGAATAAAGTAATTCAAATACGAGAATGCATTTTTGAACACGCATATTTCATACACTTATTGGTCTGGGCAGACAATCAGAGAAACGAAACGAAGTGACGCACAGCGGAAAGGGCGAGTGAGCCAACTCGTTGTGGTGAAGCGTGACTCGATACTTATATTCAGACAAAAATAAGTTCCAGGCACATAATGAATAAGGTAAGCAATTAACACACATACAATCATATGAAAACATTCAGGGTTAATAAGCGAATAAGTGACACGGTAAAAATGTGGCTTGTGAAGAATGAATAAATTAATCTGTCCAGAAGCTAGAATAACCTATGTGGGCTTGATATAGTGCCACTCCACTACAAGTTTGGCGGAAATCAATAAGATCTTGGTTTTAAATTTGAAAAAATCAAACGGTGTATGTATTGAATACCACTACTAATGGAGCGTCAGTGTATGCAGATGTCCATTTACATAGAAATTCATCGCAAGTTAGACAGTTTTCTAAGAAATCTCAGATTCCCCCAAGTGTATAATATGAAATGTCTCACCGATACGATTGTGCGCATAAAACTCTAATTGTTTACTGAAAATTTATAATAGTGTAGTGATTTCTAGACCATGCGAAAATTGGAAGGACGATTTAGCTATATTCGTGAATTGCATGCTGTATCAATTTAACAGGATATTCTACGAAAGTTAATATTACATTAAAATTTGATCAGTGATGATTCAATAAATTTACAGACAAACGGAATTTTTTCACTGTATTACTAAATAAACAACTTGTGTAATAAACATTATTCTTTTAAGTTTACTTTTGTAAAAATTTCTTTTACTGAGTACAGATTATGAAGAAAAAATAAAGTGGAATACAAAGTGCTTACAATAATTCACAGTAATTAAAGTGTTTTGTATGCAATTTTCCATTAGACTGTTACGAAAATATTCTCAGTAATTTAATTCACAATTCAACTGTTAATGTTTCATCGTAAAATATTTTCCTCAGTTGCTTTCTTAGTAATGTTAAATCAATTCAGTGGACAAAATTGACGCTACCTGTTCATATAATGAGAACTATATGAAAAACATTATGAAAAATATTTGATCTTTCTTAACTGTTGAGATTAGCTTGTTCGTATTAAGACAAGACTTAACTAACTGAATAAACAGTAGTGAGACTTTGATATATGCAATATTTACAGTAAAGTAATTAAAAACAATAGATGATATTTCAGATTGAATTTATGTTTAGTTAATAATCGTACACTTCAACATGGTTAAAATATGAATCATATATTTGATAATTACTGTTATTCAGCATTTTCATTAGCCTTAGATACTTACAATTAAGCTTTTTTTTAGTTCATTTTATATTGTTTTTTTGAATCTTCCCATTAGTGTTTAGGTCTGCAATTGATAAGTCTTTTATTAGAATATGTACATCCTGTGATGATTGCCTCGATAATGGTAATAATAAAACGAGGGTGACTAAAATAACTTCGTAGATCTTGTTTATTTATTACACAGACAGTAACATGTGAAAATATAGAATAATTTATTTATCATAATTTTGAAATGTCTTTAGGATGTTTAGAGAAAAATTGGTAATCATCTCATTTTAGCACCAGAATAAGTGAAGAGATGAGAGGAATTTATTATACATTATACATTCGAAACTATAATATCATTAAATGTTCAATCTAGTTTTTATTCATCTGAAAGGACAGTTATCAAATAACATCTGTATCTTTTACGGATAAGGTTGGAGAGGAAATCAACTCACGGCATAAATAAATATCGTGATAAGTTTGTAAACAAAAAAATGCAACAAAGTTCAGAATAATATGTTTAAACATTGATTAAGAAATGACTGTCTACGTGCCTAAAACTTAAAGGTGATTCACTAGGCTAAATATTAATCCAGCTGGTATCCAGGACTGCTCGAAGACAATTCACGAGACAAAACTTAAAATTAATGCCTTCACTGCGTTCGATGCTAACACTGAGAATAATTTATGAACAAACTAGGCTGACAGCTCTTATTCAATTAGTAAATTTAACCATTTTTTCGAGAGCAATTTACACTATTTAATGACCTAGAAGTTTGCATTTTTGTACTCGTAAACATCTGTAGGAGTAGACAGGCGAAGTTCACTTAAGTTCATAAACAGCTCAACCCTACTCAGCCTAGATGGCTATAAAGTCAGCATGAATAAATCATTTTTAATAATCTATCGTGTTATTAATTATCTGTCGAAACCCATGAGACCGACAGTCCTTTAAACGACAAACATAATACCAATATACAAAAGAAGGTTTAAGATTTACTGACAAAAGAAAAACATATTCCTACCTTAGATAATTCATGCCCAGTCTTAATTAAACGATCCTTAACGATTTGTTGACCTTACGCTAATACACACCACGAATATTTACATTTCATGTACCACAAAAGATATGGACGTTGCCACGGTCTATGATACCCCTCGCCAAATGTACTACGCACAGTGAAGGAATCTTTGCGATATAATTCATGAGGTATCCCATCAACGGAATCGTAAATAGGACATCCAAACGTCTTCATAAAAAACTCCATCCTTTCAATCAAACTACTAGCTTATTTTTCACGTATTCCTCATCACTTCTAACCACTAATACCAGTATACATAGAGAACCCTACTCGGAGTACCATATTATCTGACATAACTGACGCCACTGAAGCCATACAACAACCACAGACTAAATGATACAACAGTTTCCTACTCCCTTACATCTGACTATGTTAAATTTTTCTCTGCTGTTCTGTTGTACTTCTATGAGGAAAAGATATGTCATCAAATTAAAGTATCGAACTAATGTCCTGTATCCAAGACATCTTAGGTCGATACCTTGCAAGTTTTTAAGGTGATTAGTAGGCATCCGAACTCCGGTCTTCTGAACTTTGCTGAAGCCGTTGCTATCAGGCGTCAAAATCCTGACCTATGTGTTCAAAAGGAGATGGTTATTAATCTTTCCTTGCCATGATGATAAATATTCATTCGTTGCATCCTAAACACCTTTTTAAACTCTCTCTTGCGTTTATCACATTATTTAGTTTTTATTTCAAATATCTTCCACATTAGTAATCTTATTTTATTAACTGGGCTTTACTCACTTTATTCCTATCAGCGTTTACTCATTATGTAATCACTTGTTTCTGGCCCTTTGAACTGTTGTCACAATCAATATTGTAGACTTTTCTTTTACATAAGGTATATATTTACAATATTCAGTCCAGAAAATTTATTTACATCCTTGCTATACTAATATGTCTTCAACATAACTTCCGACTAAATACTTTCACGTAAGTAGTTTAAACCCATTTTGTAATTATGATTTCAAATATCACAGGTTGTAGCAGCTGACAAGAACGAACGAAATAAAATGAATTCATGCCACTAACAATATGTTGTTAAAATAATATCATTATATTTTATACTCACTTGTAAATTTGTCAAAGCATTCATTTCTTCCAGTAGGCATTGTACCATTGGTATGTTCTGTCGATTGACAGCCAAATGTAATGGAGTTTGCCGTAATGCATTTCTAGCATTTATATCCAAAATTTCTTGACCGCCAAAACGATTGTTATTTTCATTTGTTGGAGAATTATCGTCCAGATCGACGAGATTTGCTTCGACCACATCATTTTCTTCTGAAATATTTACCAACCTTGATGTTATATCATTATGTGGCCGCATTAAAAGTCTTAAAATATCAATATTTCCACTTTGAACTGCTGAATGAATAGCTTCATTATCAGAAGAATCCAAATTCCTACGTCTGGCTCCATATTGTAACAGTAGGATAACACAAGCTAAATGACCAGCTTGACAGGCAGCGTGAAGTGCGGTCAATCCACTAGAAATTCCATTCACCTATAATAAAAGTTTTATCAGAAATTAGATAACAATTATTCAGGCCATGGACGTTTTTAAGATATAAACTGAAAACGTCATGCTCCAAATAGTTCAGTAACAATAACTCTAGGTGGAAAGTAATTCTATGAACCTCCAGAACAAATATAAAGGAATGTTAATATCAGTTTTTATCACATAAACTGCTATTAAATTTAGTGAAGTGGTAAACTGTTGACTAGAAAAGTGAATATGAGGTCACTGAACAATAGTGGGATTCGAATAAGACTGCAAAGAACATTCATGAGAATACACCAAATTTTCAAATGTCTACCTATTATATATATTGACGGATTGACTAGAAGGATAATGCTATGAATAGAGCTTTCCAATAAAGATTAGATTCAAACTTTCAAATTTTCTATTAGGAGTAATCATTAGACACATTACAGCTCGTAATATAACCACTCAATCAATCCATACATAACATTACGAAACTTTGATAATGCTAGGCAGTTTCTTATCAACTGATTATACGTTTCATATCAAAACTATATATATGTATATATAAACTGCAGTTATTTAGCTTACGTCTACATTATGATGCTGCAAAAGACATTTCAAGCGTTTCACATTTCCTTCATTGGCTGCCTGAATTAAATCTTCAGAATTGTTACTGTGAGTTTGTGCATGTGAACAATCTAGGGAAAAAAGGCAGTCAGGTTAGGGAACTTATATAGTAGCCAATTATATATATTAGTGAATTGTATTATAAACAAATACTAATTCGATCAAATGTCAAAAAGTAGGTACCTGTTGTTTATTTAGAACTAGTCAGCTTCACAATCTACTATTGAACTTACACTTTTACTAAGTGAACTCTGTTTGAATAGGTCAATAGCTCCAACGACATTCTTCTTTTTTGATAACTGTTAGGTGGATTACTTAATTAAGCCTGCTACCCCTCATGGAGGAGCATAGGCAAGTGGATATGTATTTAAAAGTCTATAAATAGGCACTGGCACTAACAGAGACATTAGAACATTTTCAGCTAGCATTTATGTGCAAGGCACCACAAAAAAGCACACCTAATAATAGTTGATAAACATACCCTATCTACTTAATAGATTTTATCAAAATGCACATAATATCAATAACCGTTATTCAAGATAAAAGTGATCTTTTACATAAGTCTTCTCTTTTTTATTAATTGTATCATTAAGTTTAGCATTACCGAAACACAGATAAGGAAATCTTTATGGATTAAGTACAGTGAATAAAAATGTACCGTTAATAATTATGACAAGTAACTCTTACTAGGCATTTCCATGTTTGATTGTTCGGGATCATCTGCTGGAGGTGTATGAGGACTCATATCTAACGGATTTTCAGCAAAAACAGGTTGTAGTTGATTGTAAGTACCATGCACTGATCGTGGTCCTGCTTCAGTATGACGTTGTATTCTAATAGTTTGTGGACCCGTACTATTATTTTCCCGTATAACTTCATCTGGTAATGTTGTATATCCACATATTAAGTCTTGATTAGAAGAAGAACTATTATGCAATCCATCTCTGGTATACAAGGTGAGAACTCTCCCACGATTAGTGATAGCAATCTGTTGGAAACAGAAGTCTAAAGTTTACTTTATAGGATACTGAACAAGTAATGCTAAAAAAATCTAGGTAAAACAGTTCGGCAAAATCATCAGTTTAGGCTTTCCAACGTTTTTATCACTAAACATTATTTAGTTCAGTGTCTTTTGATTTTGGCTAGCAGGAGAATCTGGATGTACGTTTCTTCCTATGTATGACTTACCCATGTAATCCGATCAATATCCACATTTGGCAGTAGAGGTGATTCAGTCTTGAATATGGACAATAGGAGTTTGAAAACTCTTACAAATTATCAGCACAGAACCTTGTGAAGATTGTTGAATGAAATTCAGATCACGAAACAACGTAAGCTAGACAAACAATAAGAACTAGAAGGCGCCAGACCGAGTTAAAAATGTTAATTAATAACATGGAATGGTGGATTTGAGGACGAAGATAAATATGCTGTATGGTCAAGTTTGAAGATTCAAAGATTTTATCCCCATATACAGATTTAATGAGAAGTGAATCCAAAATAGACGATTTTTTCATGATGCGAAAGTTGACTGGTGGAATAAAGAGTACAATGTGTTCACTGGTTATCTTCCCCTATTCTATGAGATTTCGATGATGGTATTTGTACTAATTGATTTTTTCATAGAATTTAACGAATCATCCTAAAAATCTGTTATGGTAATGTTGTAAAAAGAGAACTAACTACGGTATATATGCATCGAAAATTCAAATTCATACGATGGAATTACAAAGGAAGTTATTTTTCGTTCTTTAGGTTTTTAGTAAATTTTTATATGAATATTTAACTAAATACATTGACTTTATGTTTTGTTATTGTGAGTTATATAAGGGAAAGCTTATCATAAGGCTTTTAGTCTGGTGAAATATTATTTTCATCCAGTCAATCAGTTAGCCACAACGTAGGATCAGGCACATTTATGCATCTGTTCAAGTTGCCACACCTCATTAGCACAACAGGATGATAGCCAAATTCATAGAAATAGTTACTTCAGTGGTAGTAATATATAAAAAAAAGATTGTGTATAAGGATATGATACAGAAGAAAAGAATTATTTTGTATAACGAAAGATAAAAAGCAATTTTGATCTCGTTGTTTAAGGGAAGACAGAGTGTATACACTGACGCCATTGTGATCGATTCTGAACCATGTCACCAAGAGTCTCCAACCATTGGTTACGATAGTCACGTGGACCCCAACCGAGTAGTCTTCGTCTACCAAGATGGCTAAGACTAGAAGGTAGTGACTTCAGGGACTGATGCCACGTTTTGGTTCGGCCGCCCTCTTAACTTTCTTCCAACCATCTCCAACACCGGTTAGCATTGCACGTCGTGGTAATCGGTGTTCAGGCATACGTAACACGTGGACCAACCATCTCAGTCGATGAAGATTCACAACCTTATCGACTGATTTACCATCATTCCCTAATACCCTACGTCTAACCTCACTATTACTTACCTGGTGATCCCAGCAGATGCGAGCAATACTTCTGAGACGTCTGTCATCAAATTCTAGTAACTTACGAGTATCTTCTACCTCAATGGTCACGTTTCGCAGTCGTAAAGTAGAACGGAACGAACTGCCAAGCAGTATACTCGTCCTTTTATTGAGGACGAATACCTCGCCTTCGCATAAGTGACGTAAGTTGGCAAAAGCCAAACGAGCTTTTCGAACCCATGCGCAGATTTCGCCAGATACCAACCCATTAGGGCTGATCACACTTCCAAGATTAGTGTTGTCAAAGCGTCCCACTACTTTGCTCCCTATCCATAGTTCGGATGTTGACTCACGATAGTCCTGGAACAAAAACTTGCATTTAGAAGGAGAGAAGTGCATCCCAAACGTCCTGACATTTTTGCTCAGTGCTACCAAAAGATTGCATTTTATCAGAGTTTTCACCAAACAAGACTATGTCATCTGCGTATTTCAAGTCGATAAGTGGACCTCATGGTAAGAGATCAATCCTCGAAAATGCAGTCGGTAGGTCTATGATGAAGTTGAACAAAAATGGGGATAGTAAACAGCCTTGTCGGACACCACTTGAGGTTGCAATATCAGATGACAGTTTGCCATAAGCTCTCACTCGACTGCTAGTGTCCGAGTAAAGAGCCTTCACAAAGTTTATGTACTTCTGTGGCACATCTTTCAATGACAGACATTGACACAAAACCTCTAGGTCAGCAGAGTCAAATGCTGCTTTTTAGTCAAGAAAATCTATCATAATCATGCCTGTGTTCTAAGATCTGACGAATGGTGAATATGTGGTGAATGCAGCTACGGCCAGGTCTGAAGCCAGCCTGATTTCTCGTGTTTGCAGTTCATGAGTCTTTGTTAGGCATCCAATAATTATTAAGACTAGTATTTTAGACGCTATATTAATCAAACTAATACCTCTATGGTTACCACAGGATGATTTTAATCCTTTCTTATATATTGAGACGATTAATGATGACGACTAGTCAGATGGGATTACGTCCAACTTCCGGATCTTGGTTAAAATTTTGGTCAGTCCTATCGCTAAAACTGAACCACCATCCTTAAAGACCTTTAGATCCAATCCATCTGGACCAGTTGCTCTTCTTCGTTTCAGATTAGCTATAGCTATTTAAACCTCAGTTAGAGTCGATGGGACTACTTTAATGTTCCATACAGGTTGTTTCGGGAAGGTGTGCAGTTTTACAGTAGCTAAACGCCATCTGAACTGCTTTTTAAAGTGTCCCGTACATCGTTTTAAACGTCTGGACTGAGTGCTGATAAGATTATCGTCTTTTTCCGAGATCGTCTCACTTACATTTGACTTCTTAATTCCGGTTTCTTTTATTGATCTGAAAAGCTGTCTGGTGTTACCTAAAGCCTCTGAATTTTTAATCTCTTTTGCTTTCATTGCCCATCACTGCTCACGATCGTTCTGTAGACTTCTGTTTAATCTAGATTTGATTTGTTTTCGCTCATCATCGTGTTTAAAGTCCAATGGGATAAGTTTATGAAAGCCTATTAGTGCAATAGGTGTTACTGAAATCCGCTACCTTAGAAATTGCCAAAATAACTATTCATTCAGCATGTAGCCTAATAAGGGTTAAGGGATGATATAATGAGGATGAGTATCAGGAAACATGATCAAACATTGTTTTAGATTCCTCTCATAAAAAACCATATGGGTAACGCTAGGAAATACGTTTAGAAAGTATTCACCTTTAGGGTCAAAATTAATTCATTTTTTGAATTGTCTTCAAGCTCGTGTACTTGTTAGTAACCTATATTATGAATTTTAGTAATTCATACTGATAAAGTTCTAAAACTCGAATTAAAAACGAATAATTATGATCGAATAGGACCTTTGTTACATCGTCGATTTATGAATTTCGTAATGTATTTCTAAATTTCTGAGATCAGTTGAAGCATTTACAGCCTACTAATGAATACCGACAAGCTCGGTATTGAAGGTCAGGTTATTTCAATAACTCCATACAAAAATGATAGCCCTTACCTATTTATTTCACATACTATATTAAGATTCAAAGATTAGCTACATTAAACATCTTGAATAAACACATTGAAATTTTGATTGAGATCACGAATCAATCAATGTTAGACCACCATTGAAAGCTTGGAAGCCTTGAACGGATGTTTCATCTATTATGAGACTCCTCAAAAGTGGGTATCCACGATCCCCTATGCGGGGTTTGAACCCAGGACCTTAGGTTTCATGCGCGGACGCTTCACCTCCACTGAAATTTATGATTTACATTTCCGTAAACTTTTAGCCACTGAAAAATTTTCAGTGCGTTATTCACGCAACGTATTGTAAAAAACTACCTATTTATCACTGTTTTGTTGGTTGAATATATAGTACTATACAAAGAAGACTCACTCACTAATTAATATAATGCTTTTAGTAGGAAATTTTTAAAATATGACCAAACAGAAGTATTTTTCATTTAACAACTTGAACTACTGATGAATAGCTAGTAGTCGAATGTTTTTGATAGGTAATATCCTTCATACTTAAGCTATAAAAATACATCTAAGAAATGAACGGAGTTGATATCTCGGAATAACCATATCTGAGTGAAACCAGTTCATCAAATTTAAATCCCCTAAAGAATTGCAGCCACGTCCTTTAGTACACCACAAATCTTTACTCACTAAACACAAGGTTACGAGATCAATCTTAAATCTGTTAAGATACTGATCTCATGAATATTTAAATAAATTTATTCTACCTATAAGCTTACTGTTTTTACTCTGTATTCTGCAACGCACCCCACTTACTTTCGTCTAGATTTCAAATACTGAACAAAATGTCTTGTGTTCAGTGACTTTATTTTTATTCACTTCTATTTTGATCGGCTTTGAGTTAATAATTCAACTGTCCCATCAAACATTGTATCTCAGAAACAGTAATGGACCATTAAAAGAGAAGGTATCTCATAAAAGTACTCAAACAAATAAGTCCTCTGCTTAAGAAGACTAGCTGTTTGTCGTTCGACATTAAAATGAGGAAAAGTTATTAAGTTCGAAGAACACTAAACTGCAATACTAACAACTTGGATTGATTAAATTGATCCGCACTAATAATAAGGAAATCACTACCTTTACCAATTTCATTATAGACAATCCCCAGCCATGAATGAACCTTGTCATTTAAAGTTAGTTTGCCTCTGTGTGTATATGGCTTGCCTTTCCTACAAATGATGGATATTTTGCATGTATTACCTGTTAAAGTAAATGTTGTTTAGTGAATATTCAATAGACAAATGTTATTCACTTTCGTTATAAGTATGATAAGGAATCAACCGATGTGTATAGAACTCATTTAGATGAATTATCCAAGATCAAGTCTCACTCATTTAACAAAGTGTTTGTATTTTTAACAGGAAAATACCAACAGTCAACATATATGATATTACGACTTACGCGTGATTGAGAATTTCTACATTGGTTGTGCGAAACAGAAGAAATATTAAGTTCTCGGGCATTTTGAATAATTCTTTGATCATTTGTTGAACACTGTATGCTTGTTGGTCGGTTGTCGCGAACAGCTGTCGACAAATGATCGTTATTATGTGAACGAGAATGATTTGTTGAATGATTCTGGTTTGCTGGATTTGAATTACCCCGGCTTGTAGGTGCCGATGATTTAAAGCATTGGTTCTTAAGAAATCAGTCAACAGGGTACGGGCAGTTTGACCGAAACTCCGTAGACCACTGGTACTACTTGGCATGTTAGCTGCACGTGGAGAACCTAGTTCTTCAGTCTCTCTGTCTGTAGACCAACCATATTGTGGTCGACTTAGTCGTGAATGTGATCGCCGTGAAGTAACATTAGTGCTATGCGAACTCTCGATTGAGGAAGGCTGTAGATGCAGTCTGCTAGCAAGAGTGCATACGTTCAAACAGCTGGATGCTGCAGGCTCTTCGTTTGATAACACATTACTGTTTGTTCTATATCCGGTATCTGTATATTGTCCACTATTTGAAGAACTATATAATGTTCCATCATTCCTAGAAATTCTACTCCGATAAACGTATACATCCTCAACATTTCGAGTTGTTTGACGGCGACGAGACTCAAGATCGTGAAGATTAGTCCAGTTTGGAACCACAGGACCTCTTTCTAAGTCATGTCTCGTTGCAAGTGATACCTCACCGTTTGATTCGTCAGGCACACAAGCTTCATCAGAATATTGCCTTAAATCAGCAAGAAGAGGAAGGTGATCAACGTAATACATTCCACCTTTAGAGGGTCTTATTGCCTATGCATAAAATACAAATTAAAAAACAAATTAAAAACAATTATTTTGAGTTAAATAAGTTTATATTTCAGCTAAACATTCGCCATGTATATTTACTTGAAAATGTAACCAGTCTGGTGAAAATTTCAAATGAATCATACATTTTTAGTGAACTAGTTTTTAAGCTTTCAAGTTCAGATTCTCTAAGCTAACTAACTGTTCTGTAGGGCCTAATAAATTCTAAGTGGTCTTTCATATACTTTATTAAAGAAATTCGAAGGATGATAATAATCGCTTTACACCATAAATGGTTGCCACAACTGTGACAAGACAGTCTGAAATCATCAAAGTAATTTGCAGCTGTTTACATTCTCATCAGTTAGACTCACTATAAGCCAAGATTGTCATTTATGTGGCTTTCAATAAGCACACAATTAAGTAAGGATGTGTTCTCTTTTGGAAAAGTATGTACTTACTTTGAGGTCAACTAATCCTCCATATCCAACTCGATAAACATTATACGCTCCACTATCCCAGGCGACCAAAGCTGCTGAACGCGGTGCCCATTGATACCAATCTCTTCTACCAGTTATACGTCCTTGTGTAGGCAAAAGGATTGGACCAGCAGACGTTTTTTCGTTGTTTGAGCTCAAGTTAGACCTGCAAGCAATAGTTGACCCTGTTGGTCCTAGAAGTATCGATCCACTTGATGACGACGTTAGGGGTGAAACACAATCTTGGCTATCCCAGCTCCAGTCTATGCCGCGAACAACTCGGGCTTTAGGGAAAAGACCAAATGATTCTACACGCCTTTGTTTCAAACGTCGACCAACAATAACTCTATTAGTAGGAGTAAAACCAAATTTTTAATTGAAATTACTTAAAAAGTTCTAAAGCTTATGAACTATTAAAAATTAACATACATTTAAACAAATATTGCTTCCTGCTGTAATATACCTCCAAAGTTAAGACCAGAAGATAGAAAACAATATGCTTCAACCTTAAGCACTATGGTGATATAAATAATATTGTGGTGTCTTATAAACATGGGTGTTTCGTTTAGTGATTTTGTTTTATTAGCTTTTCAATAGCTGGTAAAAAAATTAAATGTAAGCATCTTGAGTATGTCCAGCAATCTAGTTATTTCTAAACTATCTTCTCTCCTGATCTACAAGTGTTCTTTCTAGGCCACACTTTCGAACTTACTGAAACCCTTTTCTCCCCCTGTCGAATGCGACAGTTTCCAAGCCAAGTTCCACTACATACTACTTACAAGCAATCTTGTTAGTAGTATACATCACATCTCCCCCATGTTGAATCGCAAGCGTGTTGGCCTCCGTGATTCTATCGTCACTGCTTCTGATCTGTCAATCCAAAGAATCCACTTTTGAGGCTGGCTAACATCCACGCATTTCACCATGTTACCTTTCTTGATGGCATACACCGGTCTGGATCTTTTGATGACCATATATAGTCCTTCTCAATTGGGCAGCAGTTTTCGTGAACCAAGTTCGCCTATGGCTATCCCCTTTCTTTCTCTACATTTAATCTTATCTCCTAATGAGAAGAGATTCTGCTGTTTCATTTGATGTTATTCGAATCTCTTCATGTTCTTTTTTTTTGCACACTCATCACCGCTTGTCCTAGCTCATCCTTCCACTCCTCAAACTAGAACCTCTGTATTTGCGACCACATCTTATTGTGCCCTAGCAGTCACGATGTTCTGCCAAACACCAACCAGAACGACGAATTTCTGGTGTTTTCTTGGACTGAAGCACGGTAGACTAGTAAAATCATCGGTAGTTCCGTCTCCAAGTTACCTATTTAGCTGCCAGTCATTCCTTCAGCGAGACGTTATTTCGTTCTGTTAGCCCTTCGGTCAGCAGATAGTATAGAGATTTTCAGATACTACTGATGCCCAGCTGACCTAGGAGGAATTTTAACTCGTCGCCCTGAAAACAAGCACCTTAACCTGTTAATATCATTTTCGGGACGCCATGATCCACAACAATGTGTCGGATGGTTGCTTCCGTCACTGTTTTTCCGCGTTGATCCGGAAGCGCAACCGTGTTCAACCAAAGTGTGGAGTGATCTGTCATCGCTAACATTTACTGATTTCTAATCGATGTTTGCGGAAACGGCCCTATGATATCTACTGACCATTGTGGTATCCATCACGATAGTAAACCTAATGAAATTAAGTGGTGTAAGCAACTCAGTGTAGAGAAAATATAATACGCGTTACATACACTGATTTATCTGGCATCACCAAGGAATAATTTGTGAATTTTATAATTTAACAATATTTCTTAAATTATTCTCTTTATAATATTGTTATAACTGTGAAAATGAAGCTGCTGATTAAGGGTAGCGAATTATTGATCGGACCAAAGACACACAAACACGTAGAACGACCTAGGGTTCTGATTGGTCTCGCCTCCCTATCTAACCTAGCCAGTTGAGTCCAGAACACAAGTCACAGCCTCTGGGTTATGAATCATTATATTTCAAACATACTTTGTTTATATACCAGTCAAGCAGACCACAACGTCCCATAAAATAGAAAATAACATTGTACAATAATGGCCAGTAGGAAAATGACACGTTAAATAAATATTGACCAATAAGATGATACCATTTCATGTCCAAGGATAGCATTAGCCTTAACAGGATAATTTTTGGGATATTTTCCTGAATATCCCAACAAATATCTAATTTCCTCCCATTTACTTAAGTGATAAGTTAGAGATTTCGAAGTCGCTAACTAATTAATTTGTTGATACCTTAAAATTCAGTCAAGAAGTAAACATAAAAATCACTCATGAGGTACCATTTAAAACATTCAGAATTCGATAAATGTACATAAAAATTATCGTCAGTGCTTAAAAATAGTTGGTTTAGACAATGTATAGTTTTCTGTAACTTTTAAATACTTGAATTTAGAGAAACCTAACAATCATTACTTCTACTTATGATTGTTTTCATGAAACACCCATATTATTAAAATACTTAATTATATAAATTATAAAATACTAGCTTATTAGATTATTGTTTAAATTCATTAATAATTTGTAGAATATAGAATGCAATTGATTTCCACATGGTTAAAACTAGTTTTTTTGTTCATGAATCATCAATGACAAACTTATTTCAGATAAAGTAACATTAACGATTCATTACTGTAAAATGACTATTTAACTTGAAGTGAACATTCTTAAAGGCTACATTTTACATTTTTTGTAACGTATCATGTCAAAAACGTTTCAACTGTGTTAATGGCAAACCGAACAACAGTTATAACCTCATAGTTATTTGACTTAACTGTTACTTGTTTCTCTCTTATGAAAATCGAGATACTTATCACAAATCAAATTTTCTGCACCCACCAATGATAGCAATGAAGACGATAAAGATCAGTTTTTCGAGAGGCTGCTCAAGGAAAAGACTTGACAGTCCTGATGGGAGATCTTAACTCCAAAACCAGAATGAACAATACCGGGTATCATGGGATGATACGGACTGACTGGAAGAAGAGAATAAGAATGGTGAGAGATTCGCAAGTTTATATGTATTTGACAAGACGTTTATAGGTGGCACAACATTCCCATACAAACGCATACACAAAGTCATATGGGTTTCATCGGACTACACTGCAGAGAACCAGATAGACCATATTCGCACCAGTAAAAAAGTTCACAAGGTCAATGGGAGGCGTGAGAACCAGGATAGGAGCTGGAATAGCTTCAGATTAACACCTGGTGGTGGCCAAGATGAAAGTGAAACCAAAGAAGCATTGAACAACTGGATAAACAGTAGTACAAAGGTTCAATAGAGTGTTCCTTCGAGATACTGACAAACTCAACCAATTCAAGATAACTCTCAAAAACAGGTTCCAAACCTTCCAGGATCTACTGAAAGAAGAAACCACTATGGAGGACAATTGGAAAGGGATAAAAGAAACACTAACTTCAACGTGTCAGGAGATGTTGGGCCGCAACAAGCGTCATCATAAGAAATGGATCTCTGTCGAAACCCTGGACAAGATCCAAAAAGGAAGAACAAGAAGACAGTAATTAACAACAATTTGAAACAACTATATGACACGGCGAAGAAACTGGTGAGGAAATATAGCAAACCAGAGAGACTGATCAAGGACAAAAAACTCAAGCCAATCACTGAGATTCAAGAACAGAAGAAAAGATGGGTAAAACACTTTGTGGAACTTTTGAATAGTCCAGCTCCACTGGACTCACATGACATCGAAGTAGCACACACAAACATTCATATGGATGTCACTCCACCAATGGTCGAAGAAATCAGGATGGCAATCGTATAAATCAAGAGCAAGAAGGCAGCAGAACCTGACAATATACCACCTAAAGCATTAAAGTCACACATAGAAACAATTGTAATCATGCTTCAAGTTCTATTCATAAAGATTTTGAAGGAAGAACAAGAGCCACTGACAGACTGGAAAGAAGGACACCTCATCAAGACACCAAAGAATGGAGATCTGAGCAAATGTAAGAACCATAAAGGCATCACACTTCTCTCAGTACCAGGAAAAGTGTTGAGCAAGATATTGCTGAATTCGATGAAAGATGCAGTAGACACCCAACTTCGAAATCAACAGGCTGGATTTCGTAAGGATCGGTCGCGTACAGACCAAATCACCACACTACGGATCATCGTTCAACAATCAATTGAATGGAACTCGTCACTATACATCAACTTCTGTGATTATGAGAAAGCATTTGACAGTGTGGTTAGGAGACTTATGGAACCTTCTTCAACACTACGATGTGAGTAGCTGGGAAGATCCTCAACATCACCCGAAATTCATACGACGGACTACAGTGCAAAGTCGTGCGTGGAGGACAGCTGACAGATGCATTTTAAGAGAGTATCGGGGTCAGACAAGGCTGCTTACTCTTCCTCCCTTTATTTTTCTTCTAGTGGTTCAATGGATTATGAAGACCTCCACATCCGAGGGGAAGCACAGAATATAATGGACAGGTTAAATGCAATTAGACGATTTAAACTTCGCAGTGTAGTGGACTCTACTCACATGTTTATTTGTAAGTAGTGTATGGCGAAGCGAGTTCACGAAGCTAGCATAGTCGTTAGACGGAGAGAAGAGGTTCAGTATATCAAAAGCATGGCGTAAGCAGAACCCCCGAAGACTAGACGAGAAGACAGTCCGGACTGCAAAAGATACAAATTGATTATCAAATGCTATGTATACGTAACATACAAACATTGTCATTTCTCTCGATGAACAGTAGTTGATTAACAGTGAATTAGCAGTTACGCATAAATAAAAAGTCGAATTTCAATTAATTTATGATTACAACAAATAGTTTCCGTCCAAACATTACTTTCGATAAACGTGATATTAGATGGGCGAAATAAATATAAAAAATGGAACAAGGAGAACCCAGATAATCAAGCTTCCCCTATGTCTAACCGTTTGTTGGATTGATATGAAAAACATGACCGTCAAGCGATTAATATACAAATTCATGAGGATGTGAGTGAAGAAAGTTTTGTTTCCATAAGGTGAGTGTCCACGAACTTGGGGTAAATTTAGTAGATAAATACTCACCTAGTTTTGTATGGTGCTGTAATCCTTAGAAATTGATGAGCCAGCGAATGCTTATCAGCATGATAACAAGTTGAACACAAATCTGTGCTTAGGCAAACTACACATTTCCATCGAATTCCATAAATTGGGGACTGAAATCAAGGATTAAAATAAGTTGTATTTATCATAATTTTGAAACAAGAATAAAAAGAAAGCAAAATGTAGAAAAGTGTACGGATTCCTTAATCTTTTCGGGATATAAGTATTTATAATAAGAATAAACATAAATGTTAAATGGGCGATATAGTCACTTTAGGTCACAGGTTTTGCTGCGTAGAAAATGAACGATTGGGAAGCGAATATTATTAATATCCTGCGAACGACGATATTTAAGCAACGTTTAAGGAATCTGTTTACTAACTGATGAATTAGAGATGAGCACAGCTCTTGGAACTTAGAAAGATGGTATCAATAACTGTTTACTAACAAACGGAATTCCAGTTGGTAGTCACTTGGACAAACAAGATACAGTAGGTGTTTTTAGTCACTTCAGTAAATTAAAAATAAAAGAACTTCCCGATTAACTTTTATTGGTGAATGTTTTGAGGTATACTCATATGTAGATAAATTGGTGTAATATTATTGCCGGTTATTTAATTTGTAGCGGGTGCATTACCAGTGTGACTTCTCCGTGCTCAGTTATCACCAAGTGTGATATTAAAATGCCGGGATCGAAATAACATTTATTCGTTGTATTCGTGGAATATATGAATTGCTTATCTTTTACAAGATTCATATAAAACCTCACATTTTCACCATATGTGTAAAAGATTGGTGTCCCAAATGTCATTCAGTCGATATGTTCCAAGAAAAAAAGTTGGATCCAGAGGTCTTTGCTGATAAGTTGTAGACGAAACTGTGATAGAATCTATGGCTAAATATCAAAAACTGGTTATATTTCTCTAATTATGGGAGAAACAAAGGCATCTATCTGGAAGACTTATTTAAATTTCACTGTTTGTATGAACGACATGGCAGTATAAAATAGGTGATATTACACACTTGATCGTTACATTTCAAATAATTACGGTAGTCGAATCAATTGTGTGAACAAAATACACGGTTTATCATGGTTAGTGACAAAAATAAATAAGGAAATGAGGATATTTCGTTTAAAACAACGAAACACACAAAATAGATAAGCAAAAACAGCAAACTCTATCCATTATAACATTATCATTGGATGGGTGGATTTGTTTATCATCTGCATTTACATGTGGGTAACATTAATAATTCAGACTGGGGATAATTCAAACTAAAAGCAAATAGAATATCAATTCAGTAACCTGAAATCTAATTCGGAAGGCAGATTATCCGCATACATATTCTTATTAAAGATGTCATATTGTTAACTTCCACTTATTTGGCTGAAGATAATTTACTACATCAATAGTGGTATCAAGAAGTGAAGAAATATTTTTTGTCAATTTCACTGATTGTTTAGTGGGATCGATGAATACAAGGTAGAACAACAGATATGAGTTAAATTTAAGGTTAATTCAACTGTTAATTTTATTTCGAACCTCATGACAACTTTCACAGATAGTTCCAGTATGCTTCGAACCTGTTGGTGCATTATCCAAGACACGTAAGTCAAATCCAAGCACACCGCAGCGATAATTTGCCACAATTCCAGAATCCCAAACAACAATAGCTTCTCCAGACGTATCAAATCGTCTTACGGAACCAACGTGACCTTCCCCTCCATCCTAAAATTTACATGAAATAATCGTACCTTATGAATTATGTCTTTATCATTTAAGTTCAATGGTTCAACCACCAGACATTTTATTCACGAACGTCTAAACCATGTAACCAAAACATTGTATATCAAATAAAATGTAAAACACAATTATATGAATGAAAAATATTCTTTTCAATAATTTCTCAGGCTGAAAAGAATATTCTTTATCCACATAATTGTGTTTTAATATAATCGGCATTTTTTAGCGACTAAAATGAAATGTAGTTTAGGGAAGTGTAGAAGTTAAAAGGTATCACCAGATTAACACAAATTTCGGAAGCACGAGGTGACCAGAATAACACCAAAGTGAAAGATCCTTCCGGCAAGTTTGATCGACACAAATAATAGTTTGAGAGCCTGCACTTACTAAATTATAACTCATGTAAACGCGTTCCATAATAGTCCAGCAAGCCGAAAATCAGTTCGGAACCCAGTATTACTCTTCATCACTATGACGTTCAACAGTAGATGAACTTCGTTAAAATAACAAACATTAGTTACTAAAAATAGTATTATAATAACGTAAAACAGAACGTATATTGAATTCTTTGATTCAGTTGTTGAACATCCAGATTTTCAAAGTACTACATCACGGACTATATGTAATCAGATAAATAACGGAAACCAAGAAGCTCTGAACGGCTGGATTGTCCTGATATGAGACTAATAGACAGTGTTTATCCACGACCCAAACCAGCGATGTAACTTCCGACCTTCATGTGCCATAGCCCCCTATATCAAAAAAGGTCTGCGTTCCATGTTTGACAAGATTGCAAGGACATTTAAAAGAAAAAATTCAGGAAGATTGTTCACTATTCAAAACTAAAATAAAACTTAGACCGGCATTTTGGAAAGTAATCCTAGTACTTGTACTACTTTAATGAAATAAAATGTAAAACTTTAGAGCATCTAGAGCTTTAATGAGTAATGTTTAGTTATGTAGATAAAGAAGACGTTTTGGGATAATAATGTCAGCAGCGATAAGGTCAAATTGTTTATTAGAACTGTTACCGACCATAAAGCCAATCACTTATTTAAATTATAATGTACAAATGCAAACCCTTACAAAGTTTAGTATTTCTGACTGCCAATCACTCACTTTATCACAGCTTTCATTTGTATGTTTATCAGCACAGAAGCCAGCTGATCGTTATAAGATAACAACAGCCACCGAGTTTCAATCATTCTCCCAATTAACTGAAAGTCTCCATTATATAATGTTCATCAACCATTTCAAGTGGGCAATGTGGCCCTGATCAGAAACATTCGATCAGTCACGGCAAACTAACACTTGTTATTAAATTAAAAACATGTTTCATTTATTAAGACCACTGTGATTTGAAATTATTTTGTCCGGACAAAAGGAAGCAATCATTCACAGAAAAGTGAGTCTACAGTAGCTAACTTGTATAAAAGCTACCAGTCAGTCACTTAGTAGCTTTATCCCTGATGAAATTTAAGTGAAACGTTTTTGCCACTCGTCCTATGACTTAAAAACTCAGTTACAATCTCACTAATCAAAACGAAATGAAATAAAATTGTGGAGTGCAGTTGTATACTCACTAAAATAATATAATCACTAGCATTGGTGATCATATTTTTTGTATATATTATACATATTTTCCCCGATTTTATGGAAAATTTTATCAGTTTTTGGAGAAATCTTGGGGAAGCTGCACTAAAACTTTTATAGAAATGAAACCAGAACCTCGAAATTCCCCTTGGTCTTGGGTGTAGATCACCAACGTAGATGATCTATATCGAATGGTTGGGGACCTACTCGAGTTAGTGAGAGCACCACCGTATTGGCCAGTCAGTGGCATACGATGTGCGTTGATTGTTCTTGACTTTGACAGTTATCGATGATCTGTTCAATATTCAGTGACCCAACTGCCGGATGACTTGGCTAGGGCTCAGTGACATTTCACTGGCCCCACAGGAGTTCTACCCTAAATTTCAAGTTATTTTGAGGAAATCTCCAAGACTATTGGAAACATCTAAGGTTCTCTCCAAAATTTCCCCAAGAATTTTCAGGAAATTTGAAGAAGTCCATTTACGTTCTTCGGTAAAACCCCGAAATTTCTAGGTACTTTGAGGAAAACCCAGAATATGGACTTACTAGAAAGGTACTCAGAGCTTATCATGCATATAAACTTTCTCAGTTAATCTGGCAAAATAACACAATTCTAAAATAATTTAGCAGGTGTTGTCAACTTCCTTCTCTGGTTGCAAATTATCCCCAGTCACAATTAAGCATATGATAGACCCACTCTATCAGCCACTACTCGATAAGTACCCTGGGATACAACAAACTCAACCGAAACTACCGTGTGTAACCAGCAATGTTACACATCACATCACGACTACAGGACCACCTGTATTCTCTAAAGCACGACGACTAGCTCCTGAAAAGCTAAGGTTAGCGAAAAACGAATTCGACCATAGATAGACTTAGGAATCATACGACCGTCAAGTAGCCCATATGCATCTCCGTTGCACATGGTCCCTAAAAAGGACAGCAACGATTGGCGTCCAACTGGTGACTATCGGCGATTGAACGCGAAAACCATTCCCGATCGTTACCCGTTGCCTCACATTCACGATTTGACAGCTACCTTGAAAGGTACAACTGTCTTTTCGAAAATCGACTTGGTTAAAGCGTATAACCAAATCCCTATGGCTACTGACGACATACCGAAAACAGCTATCATAACTCCCTTCGGACTCTATGAATTTTTGCGAATGCCTTTCGGTCTAAGGAATGCTGCTCAAACATTCCAAAGATTCATAGACGACGTTTTTCGAGGTCTCAACTTCGTACACGCGTATGTTGACGACTGTCTAATCGCAAGTCCGGACAGAGAAACACATCTCAAGCATCTGGATCTTGTTTTCGAACGATTACAAAAACATGGCATACTGTAAACGTTCAGAAATGCCAATTCGGAACCGACTCGTTAGACTTTCTGGGACACACTATCGATGCTCAAGGTATCCGACCCCTTAGAACCAAAGTGGCGGCCATTCTGGATTACCCAGAACCGACCACCGTCAAGCAATTACGCACGTTTAACGGCCTTGTAAGTTTCTATGAAACCTCTTACCGACCAACTTCGTGGAAATGCGAAATCCATTAATTTGGACGACACCGCACGAAAAGCATTCTCCACAGTTAAGGAACTGATCGCTAAAGCAACAATGCTCGCACATCAGGACACCGAAGCACCCATTAGTATCGCAGTAGACGCATCCGACTCGGCAATCGGAGGAGTCTTACAACAATGGGTTAACAACTCCTGGCAACCCTTGGCATTTTTCTCTAGAAGGTTGCTAGACACCGAATCGAGGTACAGCACATTCGGTAGGGAACTCCTAGCTATGTATTGTGCTGTACGGCATTTCCAACACTATATCGAAGGCCGTGAATTCACTCTTTTCACGGACCATAAACCGCTCACTTTCTCGTTAAGCTCTCCTTCTGACAAGTACTCTCCCCGTGAGTCTCGACAACTGGACTACATTTCGCAGTTTACTTCAGATATTCAACACATTTCTGGAGCAAACAATGTAGTTGCAGACGCCTTATCTCGCATAACTTCCTTGAACAGTTTCCAAGGAATCGACCTTCTTAAACTCGCCGAGCTTCAAAAAGAAGACACTGATCTTCAGCACGAGTTATCGTCCACAACATTCAAACTACGCATCAAACAGATGGGAACAGGTAAGGAAACCTTACTTTGTGACACATCTACAGGTAGGGATCGCCCAATCGTGCCGAAACATTATCGACGCAATGTCTTCAATACATTGCACAAACTTTCTCATCCAGGTGTTCGTGCAACCATCAAGCTTATAGCAGAACGATTTTGCTGGCCTGGCATGAATAAAGACGTGAGGGAGTGGGCACGCTCCTGTGTAAGCTGCCAAAAATCTAAGGTTATCAGACACAATAAATGTCCCTTAGGCTCGTTTAAAACTCCCGATGCTCGTTTCGACCATGTTCATCTGGATTTGGTAGGACCTTTACCAGATTCAAATGGATACTCTTACCTCTTAACCTGCGTAGACCGTTTCACTCGATGGCCAGAAGCAGTACCTATCAAGGACATCACTGCTGAAACAGTGGCCCGCACATTCGTCGAACGATGGGTAGCAAACTTCGGCTGCCCTTCAACCATCACTACAGACCGCGGACGTCAGTTTGAATCTGAACTTTTCCGTCGTCTGACCACACTTTTAGGAATCACTCGCTTCCGAACGACCGCCTACCACCCACAAGCAAACGGGTTGGTAGAACGTTTTCACCGACAACTGAAAGCTTCACTATCAGCTGCAAACGTTTCACAGTGGACCGACGCTCTTCCACTCGTCTTACTAGGTATCCGCAATGCAGTGAAAGCTGACATTGGATACACTGCGGCTCAACTCGTTTATGGAACGACACTTCGACTTCCAGGAGAATTCGTGGATCCTTCGTCCTCTTCAATGAACATGGATCTAACCTCCTACACGAACAGGCTTACAAACGCAATGCGTTCAGTTAAACCTGCTTCCACTCGACCTCAATCAACTGATGTTTTCGTTCAACCTGACTTACGATATAGTACACACGTTTTCGTTCGTCGAGACTCGCATCGACGACCATTCGAATCAGCATACGAAGGACCTTTCAAAGTTCTTCAACGTGAATCTAAGTACTATATAGTCGATAAGAACGGAACCAACGATAGCATCAGCATCGATCGCCTAAAAGCAGCGTATTTAGAAGGAAATCCTATCTACGTCGATTTTCCTTCGGTACAATCGAACGACACGACTCCACTCATAATTCCTCAACCGACAACCAACACTAGCGATGATACTCCGAATGTATCTGAAAATAAACTTAAAACGACGCGTTCTGGAAGAAGAGTTAGATTTCCAGAGCATTTAAACGACTATTGCACGTAAGGCACTACTAGACATTTAATATTATCTCGATCTTTCTTTTTACGATATATATTTAAAAAAAAACAATTTTAATATGCTTATATATTTTTATTTTTTATTCCAAAAAAAAACAAAAAAAACAAAATTTTTTTAACGATATTACGTGTAAATTAGTTTATATTACTTTTTTTCGCCGACATTGTGTTTTTACGCACATACGAGTGTATTTCGACATGCACTTACATTTTCTTTTTTCTTTTCCAGGACGGCTGGAAAAGAACGATGACGTTTATGAGGAACTGAAATTTTCATTGTACATTTTCTTTTTTTACTATGTTGTACCTCGGTCCCATATAGTAAGGAAAGACGACCAGACGCTGCTAATCCTAGCAAGCTATCAGAAGAGTGTTTACCAACGACAAACTCGCTGGGTTTAAACTTCTGGCTGGCCACGTCTTAGGGTCATCACTAACCCACTAGGGGGGGAGTGATCTGTAGCGGTAAATAAATCCCAAAATAAATAGCCCTGTAAGTTTTCGACATTGGATGCTGACCATATGTTTTAGTGGACTCATCTAGCTGAAGGCGCTCGGTCAGGCATCCGCACCAGATCACGTGTGGTAACGCCGTGCTCAACATCTACTACGCAATCGCTAGCCAGATTAGATCAGAGAATTCCGATATATTGGTTATCGCCAAATACACTCTTCCGATCTCCTCGACTCTGTCTTTTGATTTCTCTCGGTGGGTACAAATCATATTAGAAGGTGTTACTGGTAGAAGCGTTGTCAAACACTGAATACCTGTGTCATCTTCACACCAGAATGCCTTTTTTCGCACACATACCCAACTTGTATAAACGCTCTCTATGAAAATAAATGGATGATTTTTAGAAGACGGCATAGTACGAACATGCGATCACAGTTAATTCGCCTTAAAAACAATCATATTTTAGCAGCACTCGCAGTAACAAACGCGAAATATAAGCATGCATTACCTCAGTTAAACCTGATGCTTTATAGATGAGGTTGCACATTAAAATACGGAACAAAAACATGCGAATTTCCGTTAATAACTTACATCTACATAATATTTATAAATTCGGTTGACGTTTTTCCACATATGGGGAAAAACCTCAAATTTAACCAAACTACCCCAGAATTCCTCCACAATCCGAAAATATGTCAAGCTACAATAAATATGACCCACTAACACTTGCGTTGTTCGAAATCTGTGATCGCATACACAAAAACGATGGGGCTCAGTAAGGCTTAGAATGAATTAAATATATGCATAAAAGTAGATCAACGTCGTTTATTCTATGACGATATTATAGTGAATCATACTTAAGTTTGCTGTTCGAACAACCAAACTATCTTGTTTATAAGAAATATTGTGACAAGAAAACTTATGGGAAATAATTGTAAAGTCATTAAAAATACTTGTTTGTTCCATTTCCAATCGGGTCCACGAACAACCCTGCAACCAACCCCTGTACAATATATTCCAGGATCATGTAGTTCATTTTCAGAACCATTTTCTTGTTCGGAGAATCTTGTCATGTTTTTTTGCGCTGTTATAAGACAGGTACAATCTTATTCAGGAATAATCATTTTCTTTCAGTGTTTAAAAATATTCTATTAAGAGTGGAGTTTTGTTGAATGTTTTAAACAAGAAATTGAAAGTTCATATGGTATAGTGACTGCCATAGGCAGCTAAGATGTCGCAACTGGATAACTTTTAGATACTGCTCTCATCTGAACTTTAATAGCTTATTTGGCAGCCTGACTGATTACCCTGAAGATGTCGAATTATTACGCTAGATGTTGAGATTGTTTTGAATGATTTCAACTAACTGTTGACAAACCGGACGAACTGAAGTACATGAAGAAATTTGTCAGCTTCATCTTGGATTTTTTTAGACATTACCTTATTTAAGGTAGTAATTTATAATCAGAGCATAAAGTAGTGGAGAGGAAATATGTCTAAGTACAACCTTGAATGACACTCGTCACTCTACTCCGATTCCCATAGGATTCACTGAGAAATTCAACTGAGCGAGTTCGCTCAAACATCAACACTAGTTGACGTTAGACAGTTAACGCTGAGCTGTTGAACTGAGCTACAAACCCACTCCTTAGCTATCCAAGTTAACTCGCTTCCTGACAAGTGTACTATTTATGTAAGACTGGCATGATCGTCTCTTTCTTTGAGTAGGATTATTTATCTGAGGCGTGCATTAATGAACCCAGTAAATATCCTGCTGATATCATCTCAGACTTTGCAAGATAACACTTGCCCACATCGGTTGTCTTGCCTTCAGCATTAGTTACCAGGCTGAGAAATCATATCCTAGACTGTCACCAAAGAGTGGAAAATAACAAAAGTCTTTTTGGAACGGCATTACTACCAAAGATAGCGATCTGTATGGTGAGGAATCCAGGAATATATTGTATGGGGTTAATCAAGGCACTAGAAACTCTGCGATACTTTGCCAGTATCTGTGTTAAGTAAAGTCATTTTCATTACTTCGTACAGACGATTTATAAAGACTTTCGTTTACTAACGTAAGAAGAAACCCCTAAAACTGGAAAGAAACTGAACTCTGATGAGCTTACGGGAGTATTAATTATTCAGAATACATACTTAGAAGCTTCATAGTTCGTTTTTTTGAACTCGTGTAGCTACTCACTGTGTATCTGCTCTGCAACTATCACTCTTGGCTCTACGTCTTAGTGGTGTGAAGTATTTTTTCTACTTAGGAAGATTCCAAATGCCGCTACCGATAGATGTAGGTCAGTCATTCGGGATGTTTCTTTTCGTTTGGAGAACAGAGTTCTCACCTTTTCGACACAATGTATGGAGGGTTTGTAGTGGCATTAGACCGTAACCACACAATCCTCAAAGCTGAACACGAGACTACTCGGAAAATAGGTATTCAATATTTAACGCGGAGAAATACCTAACGATGGAGAAGGCGGAAAGAATGTATTCAACGAATTAGAGTTGATCGGATGGCATAGCTCGGCCATGCAGGCGTGGTCCCTATGAATGTTACCTTATATCTCTTATTCATATTAAATATATTGTTCTTTCTCTAGCGTAAGCTTATTCTCCATCATGTATTGGTGATTGCTACGATGCAGTGAGTTGGTGTAGACGATGATGTGACTTCCACGTAAGATCTTATAGATTAGGCAGTTATATCGTGACATATCTGCAATTTTAGGATTAGGTCTATTATTGGAGCAGTACTTATATCACAGCAGACCATAATTCTACAGGTTCATACTATTCAGTCATCAATTCCATAGTGCCACAAAAATGGTGAACATGTATGGACCTTTAGTAATCTAATACGAGATGTGAGGTAATTGGTATTGAGCTACCTTGAGGTTTGTCTTGGTTTGTAACATGTTTTTGAATGACTGTAAACTAACGAACTTACCCTTCGCTAACATCAGTATTATGCTTTGAATAGTAGTTGTTAACCTACAATCACTAGAGTGCCAGCTAACTTACACTCTGCCAATCTTTACTTTTTGGATTTTTGTAATCTGATTTAAGTCTGTGGTTAGAATAGTGGTCAGACAGACGCGATTTCGATTGCTAGTAAGCCGGATTAACGAATTGAACGGACTGTTTTCGTTCTTAGCAATTTACCTCTTTTTATCTTACGTACTTGTCTGAATCTCCATTTTTCCACCTATTATTTTGGTTAAATACTTGAAAATGTCAAGTGACTTCAGAGCTTATTTGCAATTATATTGCCCGAACATGATATATATAAGTGACGCTACAACACCTATGCAGTGTAAGCCTACCTAGCAGTTCCCATTGCTACTACACTAATTGTTCTACCATTTTACAAGCCTGAAATGAACCTGTACGCGGACGAGTGAGAAACTACTATGTAGTCCTCTCTAAACTATTACATGAACGGACATGTGAAAGCTGCCTCTGCATATGAAGGCCAAACTAATCTTGGCCACTTGTTACTTAAGGTCCTCCCGTTAAATTCCGTGGATATAAACACCTCCTCACATAAATCAGTTGAATCCAGTTGATGATAAATAGTCAGGTCGCTTGGACACATCGATTGGGAGTTTTGTATTCTCCTGTCAAACTTAGTAAGTTTAGGTAGTGTTGTACATTAATAATAAGCTTACGTGTTTGATGTTGCTTACATAACGCTCTTACTAAACCAGTTGAATTCACTCAGTTAATTATAGATGATGTGTATTATCTGAATTATACTTTTATAGCCTATAGATCTACACGGACAAATCTAATAATCTTGGTTAAACTTCAGAGGCAGTACCCGACCTCTTTATTCAGTACATGTGTTTGAATCTGCTGTGACTATATCAACATAACTTATATTCGTGTCCTAACCACCCCTTTTCTGAACCTATTTGACACTATCTGTCAAAACGTTTGCCAGATATGTGAAGGCATTTACATAATCCATGTATATTTAGGAGCTACATTTGTTATTCCAGACTCTGAAATGATCGAGATGATAATAATTGAAAGATTTAAGACCCCAAATCAAACAATGTCAGACCTAGATATATTTCATAATCAGATGGGAAATTATTACATATAATCGAAAATCAAATGCAAAATTGTTTTTTAACACGATCACAGGAGTCAGTACGTTATGAACATTTCATATTGATCGATCCTGGGATTCAAAAAGGAAGAGTAGACCACCAAACAAGTATACAAAGATAATATCAATTCCAAACAAACCAAATTTAAAGATTCAACAAAAAATCACGTAAAAAGTCAAATGAATGGGGCAATAATTGCGATAACGGTTTATGATAAGTTAACTACTTCATGAATCCTTGCAACAATAAGTTTTCGGAGCCAGATGGCTGTCCACAACGTTCCTAAATACCGCACTGACTAAATTCAATAGCTTTTTGATTTTCTGCTCTATTTTATTGACGCATTTCTGTGATTATTTTAAACATTCCTGATTCGGTTCCACGTGGAACTGTTTTATTTAGTTTTATATTTAGTTTTCGACATACGTTTTCCCGAGGGAAATAACGCTTAACAAGTTTATGTGCTCCGTCTCACCATTTTTTTAATTGTATGCCCTAAGAATTTTCGGCATTTCGAATTATTTCAAATGTAGTATGAACTAGGAATCCCCGGAATAACGCAATCAAATCAAGAAGTATTAGATGAGCACAAACGAATGTAATGTATTTAGAATTCGAAATCAAGCATTCAACAAGTACAATGGTATCATTAGTTCATTCAAGCACCACATCCGCGATAGCTTAAATTGGTGTCCAGGTGTCTGTAATTGATTGTACATCTTCTCAAGTTCATTCTGTTTTTGTCCGACGTTGTATTGGATAAAAACTCTGTAGTATCTAGAATGTGCTCATTAGTATTGGAATTAACAAACGAAGTCGGAACAGACTCACCTGGAATTGTATACAATCAGAATGTCGGTTTTGTACTGAAATCATTAATATTTAGAATTTGAACCATAGATTTTTCAACACTATCCTCTCCCACGAAATGATGTCGGATCTTTATATCCCCAAGTTACGAATAATGTGGCTTCATTTAAAACATATTTCTCACATTAGTTAGAGTAAACATCAGAAGTGTTTTTACGATAGGGATAAACAGCATTTGATATGAAATCATCCGAATTGTAATCAAATTCGAGGTCATTTAGTACTCGTGCTTCGCATTGAACAAGTTTCCCACAAGAAACAAATGCACTATGAGGACAAATAATATTTGATATGACATCAAGATTTGATTCTTCTGAAATAGTTTCCTCGAATTTATTAAGAACGCCATTACAGGGCAAAGGATCTTTAGAAAAATCACCATCCAACAAAACTACATCAGGTTTCCGATTATAATTATGTTCACTCAACATATCTTCTTTAGATTTGTAAAAAATTTCATCAGAAATATGCGAATCATTAGGAAAAGCCATATCTGGTGCAATAACATGAGAATTCTGATAAGTCGATTGATGATAAACCGTCGTCTCACAAGGATTCTGAGTTTTATTTAACTCCAAACTGCTATATCACTCTACACTGTCTTTTGAAATCGTTGATAAAGATAAATCATCATTATGAATACTCGACTCAGAATCAGAATTACAAGACTTAATATTAGTTGCAGTAAGATGAACATTAGTATTGCAGACTGACTGAATATGTCCAATATCACCACATTTAAAGCACTAAGAATTACGAAATTGACATGAATTAAAAGAGTGTAACTTGCCACAGGACAAACATTGATCAAATTTGTGCCCATCTTCATGAACTGCATAGCAACTCCTCAATTAATTATCTGCATAACCTCGAGTATGAACTGGGTTGGGATGACGTAGTAATGTAGCGGAATTTTTTATATCTTCATGAATCACTTTACGAAATCTTCCTTTATTGCGTTCAAAATTTGTATACTTAACATATTCTACCAGCAGTTCCTTGAGAGTTGTATAAGGAAGTGACATAGGCTTTTCCGGCATAGCCAGTGTTCTTAATAAGCTATACGACTCTTTTCC